GCTGGGGATGGCTGAGGGCCCATGGTGGGGATTGGGGGGGTTGGAGAAAGGAAAAAGGGGGGCTGAAGGGTCCACGGGGGGATGGGAAGGGGGAACAGAGGCCCCGGGGTTGGGAGGGGGGCGGGTTGGGGGCCATGGGTGTATCGGGGTTTGGCGTCCTAATAGCCTACGTCATGTCCTCTTCCAACCACTTCCGTTTCCGGCCCCGCTCGGCGCACGGGAGCTGTCAGGCCGAAAGCCCTGCCCGCACAAAACGCGCCGGGCCCCGCCCCCGGCCGCTCGCCCCGCGGTGGCCGATGGGCGATGTAGGCCGGGGCGTACCACATCTCCCACAAGCCCCCGCGGCGCGACTCCTCCCTCTCCTCCACCCCGAGCGGGACTCAGCTGGGCCCTTGGCGGTGGGAGGGGCTGGGGGGGACAATGGTGGGGGGCAGAGGGATCGGGCCTCCGGAAGTGCTGGGATGGGGGGCCTGGGGCGAGGCCCAGAGGGGTTGGGGGGGGCAGGTGGGTTTAGGAGCCGAGGTGGGAGGAGTGAGGGGGAGAAGAGGGGATTTACGATGAGGAGGAGAGGGGGGCAGATGCCCAGGGGGGAGGGGTTAGGGGGCTTGATCTAGGTGAGTGGGGGAGGGTGTGAGGGCCTGGGGGTGGGGGAGTAGAAGCTGAAGTGGTTTCAGAGGAGGAAACTGAGGCACTTAAACCAGGGAGGAGAAGCAAAGTTGAGGGGGGGGACGGCTAAGGGTGCCCCCCTGTAACCTACTGTCCCCAGTCCCAGCCGGGTTCACCCATCCCCATCACTGAGAGATTGGCTGCTCCCCCTGGCAGCGCAGCTCACGGATGCTCCCTGTGTGACGCGCTGTTGCACATACAGAGGGCACGTCTCATTCTCACCTCCCGCTGGCAGCTCAAAGTTTCTGGCTCCTCCCTCAACGGTGGGAGAAAGCTGTGACATTTCAACACAGAGATGGGGCAAAAGAATACCTGCAAAAATCCTGGGATATCTCTCCTCCCGCACGGTACATGTGGTTCAGAGTGAAGGGAAAGGGGAGTAACCTGCCCCCTCTTCCCACGTTTAGTAGTTTGTGATGTTAAAAAAAGCTGCTGTGATGGTACACATGGAGAAACAGATATTTCTATACATGATGATATAAAATTATTCTACTTAACTGCCAGGGGGCAAATTTGTCACGTACACATAGGAGAAAGAAGAAGGAAAAAATGCAGGGTCAGCTATAGGTAGTCAGGAAGTTCCTTCGAGAGGAAATGTAGCCGAACTCCAAACAAGCAGTTAGTTATCTCCAGGACACAGGCATAGAAAGGTCTATTGTGTCCAGGTTTGGAGTTTGGCTACATTTCCTCTCGAAGGAACTTCCTGAGTTAAGACATAGCAATAGCTGTGCTGTATATCTTCCATGTGTACGTGACAAATTTGCCCCCTGGCAGTTAAGCAGAATAATTTTATATCACAATTGAAATAAACGGATCGCCCCTCCCGGGGCTCCTTGTTTGGCTAGCTGTGTCCATCTCTCCTTATTCCTCAGCTGGAACGGACAGGAATTTCTACCACAATGATTACAGAGAGTAAGTGGCACTGTTATACAAAGGTGCGTTGGAGTTAGAGATGCTAGAATGCACAGTCCACCACTGCACATTTCCTCCCTCCATTTCCCATTGGGGGGCAGGGAGGCCAGAGCCCCATCTGGGCCCCCCTCCATTTCCCCAACCAGCTCCGAACTGAAATTCTCCAGCCCCTCCTCTGGCCTTTGTCTCTTTCCCGGGCCAGGAGGTCACCTGATCTCTTTGTTCTCCAATATCTTCACTTTCTGTAAAGGGAAATTATGTTTTACTAATCTGGGGTGGCCAACCTGAGCTTGAGAAGGAGACAGAATTTACCCATGTACATTGCCGAAGAGCCACAGGAATGCGTCAGCAGCCCCCCGCATCAGCTCCCCCCTGCTCCCAGGGCCTCCTGCCCACCAGCTGCCCCACCGATCAGCGCGTCCCCATCCCCCCCAATCAGCTATTTTGTGGCATGCAGGAAGCTCGGGGGGAGGATTGAGGGCATGGCTGGCTCAGGGGAAGGGGTGGAGTGGGGGCCGGGCCTGTGGCAGAGCCAGGGCTTGAACAGTGAGCACCCCCCGACACATTGGAAAGTTGGCGCCTGTAGCTCCAGCTCCGGAGTTGGTGCCTATATAAGGAGCCACATATTTAACTTCTGAAGAGCCGCACGTGGCTCCAGAGCCACAGGTTGGCCACCCCTGTACTAATATAATAGAGTTCTTCAAGGGGTCAACAAACATGTGGATAAGGGGGAATCCAGGGGACATAGTGTACTTAGATTGCCAGAAAGCCTTTGACAAGGTCCCTCACCAAAGGCTCTTACGTAAATTAAGTTGTCATGGGATAAGAGGGAAGATCCTTTCATGTATTGAGAACTGGTTAAGACAGGGAACAAAGGGTAGGAATTAATGGTAAATTCTCAGATGGAGAGGAGTAACTAGTGGTGTTCCCTAAGGGTCAGTCCTAGGACCAATCCTATTCAACTTATTCATAAATGATCTGGAGAAAGGTGAGGTGGCAAAGTTTGCAGATGATACTAAACTGCTCAAGATAGTTAAACCCAAAGAAGACTGTGAAGAACTTCAAAAAGATCTCACAAAACTAAGTGATTGGGCAACAAAATGGCAAATGAAATTTAATGTGGATAAATGTAAAGTAATGTACATTGGAAAAAATAACCCCAACTATACATACAATATGATGGGGGCTAATTTAGCTACAACTAATCAGGAAAGAGATCTTGGAGTCATTGTGGATAGTTCTCTGAAGACGTCCACGCAGTGTGCAGTGGCAGTCAAAAAAGCAAACAGGGTGTTAGGAATCATTGAAAAGGGGATAGAGAATAAGATAGAGAATATATTATTGCCCCATATAAATCCATGATACGCCCACATCTTGAATACTGCGTACAGGTGTGGTCTCCTCATCTCAAAAAAGATATACTGGCATTAGAAAAGGTTCAGAGAAGGGCAACTAAAATGATTAGGGGTTTGGAACGGGTCCCATATGAGGAGAGATTAAAGAGACTAGAACTTTTCAGCTTGGAAAAGAGGAGACTAAGGCGGGGATATGATAGAGGTATATAAAATCATGAGTGATGTGGAGAAAGTGAATAAGGAAAAGTTATTTACTTGTTCCCATAATATAAGAACTAGGGGCCACCAAATGAAATTAATGGGCAGCAGGTTTAAAACAAATAAAAGGAAGTTCTTCTTCACACAGCGCACAGTCAACCTGTGGAACTCCTTGCCTGAGGAGGTTGTGAAGGCTATAGTTCTCTTTTAAACCCTGTTAGATAAATTCATGACGGTTAAGTCCATTAATGGCTATTAGCCAGGATGGGTAAGGAATGGTGTCCCTAGCCTCTGTTTGTCAGAGGGTGGAGATGGCTGGCAGGAGAGAGATCACTTGATCATTACCTGTTAGGTTCACTCCCTCTGAGGCACCTGGCATTGGCCACTGTCGGCAGACAGGATACTGGGCTGGATGGACCTTTGGTCTGACCCAGTATGGCCATTCTTATGTTCTTAGGAGAAAAATGGTACAAAACCCAATTGTTATTCAGCAGAACCCAGTGCAACGTGGGAACAACTGGGAATGAGGCAATCTGTCCTGGTGACTAACAATCACTGTGGAGTGGAAGGAAAAGTATAAACGTGATGCTCCAAATTTGGTTAGACTAGGAAAAGTGATGGGGGTTATATCCGGTGGTGAGGAAATTTGCTACGTTACCCTGGCAGCTCTATGGGCTATTTTCTTTATTGAAAAAAATAGTTGTGTTTTTATATCAGGATCGCTAACTCAATCTAGCTAACTCCATGGAAAACCCTAGTGGAGTCAAGGCCCAGGTAGATTTAACCTCCATGTACCGAGTAAAGGTCACTCCTGGTTCCCCCACCTGGGGCTGATGGACATTCCTGTTGGAGGGACACACACTTCCATGACACAGAACAAAGGAGTTGATGAAAAACACTGTGGGCTTCACTCCAAGGAAAGGTGAGCTGCAAAAGGGAAAAGCAGACAACTCACCTGAAGGAGCTGAGATGCCACAAATGCTGCCTTAAAGTTCACTACTTGGGAATTAGCAAAAGGAAAAAACAGTCTTTTCTGAGACCCTAGACAAGATTTTCATGGTGTTTATCTCCCTTGCAGCTTCTCTGGTGATAAATAAGAGAAGAGTTGTGATGGAAGGTTTTCCCACACTCACAGCATTTATAGGGTTTCTCTCCTGTGTGGATCCTCTGATGTGCAGTAAGGTGTGAGCTCTGAGCGAAGGTTTTCCCGCACTCACGGCATTTATAGGGTTTCTCTCCTGTGTGGCTTCTCTGATGTGTAACAAGGCCTGACCTCTGAGCAAAGGTTTTCCCGCACTCATGGCATTCATAGGGTTTTTCTCCTGTGTGGCTCCTCCTATGTGCAATAAGGCTTGAGCTCTGAGCGAAGGTTTTCCCGCACTCACAGCATTCATAAGGTTTCTCTCCTGTGTGGCTCCTCTGATGTATAACAAGGGTTGAGTTGTGAGGGAAGGTTTTCCCACACTCACAGCATTCATAAGGTTTCTCTCCTGTGTGGATCCTCTGATGGCAAATAAGGGATGAGCTCCAAGCGAAGGTTTTCCCGCACTCACAGCATTTATAGGGTTTCTCTCCTGTGTGGCTCCTCTGATGTGAAATAAGGTGTGAGCTCCGAGCGAAGGTTTTCCCACACTCACGGCATTTATAGGGTTTCTCTCCGGTGTGGATCCTCTGATGTGCAATAAGGGTTGAGCTCCAAGCGAAGGTTTTCCCGCACTCGCGGCATTCATGGGGTCTCACTCGGGTGTGGATTCTCTGATGGTGTGAGCGCCTCCTGAACTTTTTCCCAAACTCAAAGCCCGTGTTATTTCTCTCTCCCGTCAGGATTCTCTGCTGCACCGTGGTTTCCTTGAGGCCTTTGTGAGTTCCCCGATAATTAACAGATATTCCAACTTTCTGCGCTGGCTGGTTTCCCTGCCGCTTCTCTGGCCTGTGCTGCCCCTGAGAGCCTTTTCCCTGCTCACAACTCCTGGACACACTCCCTTTGCATCTTTGCAACAACTCCCCATGCGCTTCCACTTGCTCCTCTTCCTGCTGAGGATTCTGCTCCATGGTCTTGCTCACCATCCCCTCACCTGCTGGGACAGAGAAAGGAAAACCTCAGAGACCGGAAGGGAAAAGGGGAGAACAAACCAAGAGAATAGCTGGAGATGGAAAAAAATCAGGGCCTGAATTTCCCCAAACTCTTCCCCAAGGTGGCGAGAGGTGGGGATCAATTCTGCATCCATTTCCCATCCAAACACTCAGGGAAAAGGAAGTTCAGGGAGGAAACTACTGCCAGGAGTTAGTCAGGATGGATAGGAAGCCATGAACAGTATCTGCTCTGAGGATATGACACCTGCTGGGGACCATCCTGAACCCAGAGACCTCACAAGTTCTTTGTTGGGAATCCCAGCTGTTTCTTTCAAGCACTGAGTAGGTTTAATGATCCCTCACCCATGCAGCTGCCTAGCAGGATCTCTCTTTCCTCTGAGCCCTGGAGAGCTGGGGCCCACGGCTCTTCCCCTCGTTCCAGCTGGGAGATGACATCGGGTTTGGAAACTGGAAACCCTGCTCAGAGGAAAGAAGACCAATGAGATCAGGTAACACAAAAAAGAAGTTACTCAATTTGTGCATTAACGATGGTTCTTTGAGATGTGTCTCCCTATGGGTGCTCCACTGTAGGTGCTAGCACATTAAAAACAGCTGTGTAGACCAGTGGCTTTCCACACTACTGTACCCCTTTCAGGAGTCTACATTCATTTTGGCAGTTTCATATGCCCGGCTTTTTCAAAGCCTCCTTGATTTCATCTCTCTCTCTGTGTTGCCTTATCTCAGGGTATGTCTACACTACCTGCTGGATTGGCGGGCAGCGATCAATCCAGCAGCGGTTGATTTATCATGTCTAGTCTAGACGCGATAAATCGACCCCCGAGCACTCTCCCGTCGACTGCTGTACTCCAGCTCGGTGAGAGGCGCAAGCAGAGTCGACGGGGGAGCGGCAGCAATCGACTCACCGCGGTGAAGGCACCATGGTAAGTCGATCTAAGTACGTCAACTTCAGCTACGTTATTCACGTAGCTGAAGTTGCGTAACTTAGATCAATCCCCACCTCCCAAGTGTAGACCAGGCCTCAGTCTTTTTGCCCTGAATAGCAGCAAACTTAAGCCCAGTCTGTTTGTACCCTAGTTCCTGTGTCCCAAAGTGCAATGCAGTTGTGTTCTCATGTTCTGCTTCCCTTGGACCCAGTCATTACACATTACCCTCCAGTCTTTGAGACTTCCACTGTCCAGTGTGCTTCATTCATATGTGGACAGTTCTTGATAGTGTTTCCATGTAAATGGAGGGAGACTTATGTTACTTCAACAGGAATTACATCCTCATCCCAGAAGTGGAATTCACTCCTTCAAACCCAGTGACTAACAAAGCAAATTGAGAGGGCAGCTGACCCATGCATATTTTTTATTTAAAAAACTACTAAATAAAGCCCCCATTCTCCAGCGGGAGACAAGGTCAAAGTGTAGGGCTAGGATAATGAATCATAAAATCACAGAAATACATGGGGTAAAAGGACCTCAAGTTGTCAGCTAGTCCATCCTCCAGCCCTGAGGCAGGACCAAGTATACATAGACCATCTGTCTAACCTCTTCTTAAAAACCTCCAGCGACCAGCATTCCACAACCTCTCTTGGTAACGTATTCCTGAATTTATCTGTTTTCACAGTTGGAAAGTTTTTCCTAATATCCAACCTAAACATCTGTCAGGGTTCCCTCCCCACTCTAAACTCTAGCGTACAGATGTGGGGACCTGCATGAAAGATCCCCTAAGCTTATTTCTACCAGCTTAGGTTAAAAACTTTCCCAAGGCACAAATCCTTCCTTGTCCTTGGATGGGTACTGCTGCCACCACCAAGTGAGTTAGATGAAGATTCAGGAAAAGGACCTTTTGGAGTTCCAGTTTCCCCAAAATATCCCCCCAAGCTCCTTCAGCCTCTTTCCTGGGGAGGCTTGAGAGTAACCAAGGTGAGCAACGACCAGCCCTTTGGGTTTTTAGGACACTAAAAACCAATCAGATTTTTAAAAACAAACTTTATTATAAAGAAAAAGTAAAAGAAGCACCTCTGTAAGATCAGGGTGGAAGGTAATTTTACAGGGCAGTCAGATTCAAAACACAGAGGATTCCCCTCTGGGCAAAACTTTAAAGTTACAAAAAACAGTGATAAACCTCCCTCTTAGCACAGGGAAAATTCATAAGCTAAAACAAAAGATGCTCTAACGCATTTCCTTGCTATTACTTACTATTTCTGTACTTTTAGATGTACACAAATAGTAAGTACATTCAGTAGGAGCTGGATTACTTGCTTGGTCTCGCTCTTTGTCTTCTGAGAGAACAACAACAGCCCAAACAAAAACCTTCCCCCACAGATTTGAAAGTATCTTCTTCTCTTATTGGTCCTTTTGGTCAGATGCCAACCAGGTTATCTGAGCTTCTTAACCGTTTACAGGTGAAGGAGGGATTTTATGCTACCCTTAGCTGTATGTTTATGACAACATCCCATGCTGCAGAACAAGCCAGTTACTACTTCTCCCTACCCTAACCCTAAGCAGCAGAGGATAAGGGAAGATCAGATTTCAAGAAGACGACCACGGTCAGTGGTGTCAGACAGCTGACAGATCGAGGAGGAGGAGGAGGAGGATGGAGTGCTGATTCTGAGCTTTGCCTAGGGACAGGTCATTAGAGACTTCAGCAAAAGCAGTCTCAGTGAAGTGCTACAATTTCTGACTGTCACAGAGTGTGGGGGAGTGAGGGCTCTGCACCCCCCACTTCCTGCCATTCACCGGGACTCTCAGCCAGCCAGTAAAACAGAAGGTTTATTAGATGACAGGAACACAGTCCAAACCAGAGCTTGTAGGTACAGACAACAGGACCCGCTCAGTCAAGTCCATATGCGCGGGGGGGGGGGGGGGGGGGGACAGGGAGCTTAGACCCCAGCCCTGGGGCTCTCCCCGAGTTTCCCCAGCCAGCTCCAAACTGAAACTCCCCAGTCCCTCCCCTGCCCTTTGTCTCTTTCCCAGGCCAGGAGGTCACCTGATCTCTTTGGTCTCCAACACCTTCATTTGGCACCTTTGCAGAGGAGGAACCCAGGCCATCAGTTGCCAGGAGACAGGGTGTCGGCCATTCTCTGTGCAGACAGCATCACACTGTCCCTCTTGGGCTCTGCAACAATCACAGCCCCTTATCCCACCACCAGATACTTAAGAAATGCATAGGGGAAACTGCGGCACCCACACAGTATTCAGTGAAACCATTATGAATATTCCCACTTCGTCACACTGATTCCCTGAATCCTTCCCTTTCTACCCCCCACCAGACCCTCCTGTGACGGGTTGGGTCACAGAGACCCCCTTGGGGGTGTGACCTGAGGTGCTGGAACTACCTCTGAGCCCATAGCTCTGTCAGTTAGCGATGTGAAAAATCACATCCCTACCGGACATAAATTGCAGCAAAAACTGTAGTGTCGACACAGTTACAGTGGCAAAAAAGTCCATTAAAAAGAAAATCAATGAAATTAAACGCCCGTAAAGTACATTAAGCAGAGTTAAGGTTGCCCAGTGCTGCCTCGTGCCCTTCCAGCATGTGGACGGTGGTGAAAAATAAAGCCTCTGAAAACCAGGAAATGAAGAATTAAATTACACACCACCCCTGCAATGCAACCTTAACTCTGCCCTTACTGACCTATTCCCAGTGAGATTTGCAAGCTCCAGGGTTAGGGGGTAAGGGTGGTGCGAAGGTTAACAAACTACCCAAGGTAGGGGCGAATTTTACATCTCTTGAAGTCTTCAAGTCAGGACAGGATGCCTTTCTGGAAGATGTTTTCATCAAACTCAAGGCATTCAGCACACTACAAAGGTAACTGGACGAAACTCCATGGCCCATATTACACAGGAGGTCAGACTAGATGACCTAATAGTCTCCCCCAGCCTTAAAATGTATTGATCGACAGAAGGAAGGACTAAGCACATTCCATTGTGTGTTTTATGTTCCTCAGATTTGAATACCAGCATTTATCCGCAGGCACTCCAGCAGTGTGCACTGGGCCAGATGTAGCTTTAAATGAACCGTGGAGGGACTAGTTGGAGCAGCCTGGCAGAGCTGTGACACGAAGAGAGGTGCACGTGAAACTCGAAGGAACAGGTATTCCCCATTTCAGTGCTGAGTGGTGTAGGCAGCGTCAATAAAGGCGCACAAGGGTGTGTTCTTGCCACAAGGATTGTCAGCAGGCTGGTGCCATACGTGCTTGGGGCCTCCGGGGCTCAGTGAGGGGTAAGTGAAGGCAACGACTAAGACGGAATCCTCATTGGAAGGGTAAAGGGGTGGTGACATTATGAAAGTCTGAGATGGATTGTGAGCAGTAGACTCAGTGTCTGAGCGCAGGCCAGGGGTAGGTAGCTTCTGTTCCCTACAATGGACCTAACCCCAAGTTTTGCCTTAGCAAAGAGGAGGTGTTAGTATTTGCGCTATCCAGTGCCTGTGCTCTGTTCCCAAAGTGTTCTGTAGCAGGGAGCGTAGAGTGCTAGTCTATGTGTCATTGGCTTGTCGGGGTGTCGCTGAAACAGGGCAAAGTTGAGAGTGCACTGTGGGGTGTTGTGAACCTTAACTCTTCATTTCCCCTTCTAAGAACCGAGGGGATGGGAATCCTTACCCAGTGAGGTCACGTTCTCATAGTTCTCCTGCATGACGTCTCCGTAGAGGGCTCTCTGAGCGGGGTCCAGCAGAGCCCACTCTTCCTCAGTGAAAAACACAGCCACCTCCTCAAAAGTCACCAGCCCCTGAAAGAGCAAGAGCCCTCCACTCTGCACCTGCTGCCCAGTGACAACCCCACCATTCACAGGGGAGGAGGGCCAATCACATGGAAGCTCTGGGAGGCAGGCAGGATCCCTCCCGCTCCCCATCAGAGCAGCCAGGAGGCATCAGGGTGAGAGGAGAAAGAGAGAGAGCCCCTCACCCCTTCTAGCAGACAGAGATGGCAGGGGTCTTCACATTCAACACTCACCTACCAGCCAGAAGCTGATACAGGAGATGGAGCCCCCAGCAGGGTCCAGGAACAGCCCCCTGGTAGGAATCCCAACACCCTCCCCAGTGCCAGCAGTTGGATGTGAAGGGATGGGGTGTCTTCCCCGGGCCTCACTGGGGGTTGCCCTCTGGCTAGTAGGTTCAGACTCCAGTATTGGAGGCTGGTACGTTTCTCCAGCCCAGTCCAGGGGGTTGTTTCCTGCTCGACAAATTAGGGAATTTCCACCCACAAATCCCATGGGTCTGTTAAAATCTAGGCCCCACCGTAAACAAATCCCAGCAGGTTTGTCACACCCTGTCCCTCTCCCTTTCTCCACCCTGTGTATTTCCTGCCCCCTCCCACCTCCTGACCACCCCCAGAAGCACCCACCTCCTATGTCTTTACTGCCCTTCTCCCGCCAACAGGAGCCCACCAGCAACTCCCCTATAATCCCTACCGGAACTGGCTCCACGGCAGCCATTTCCCTTCCCTGGTCCCTGGAAGGATGGTATGTAACACTGCAGCCTGTCAGGGCAAGAAGGGGACATGTCAAAACAGGACAGTAACGTCACATCACAATTCCCCCCGGCTCTTTCCTCGCAGACGGATGTTCTCGACTCTGTCATGCAAATAACAGAAACATTCAAAACACAATTAGTAATGGGGGGGACGGGAGGGGGGACATGGGACTTTGAATTTCTTTTCTAACAGGTGTCTCGGTAGTTAAACAAACACAAAGTGTTCAATAAGTTCTTGGCATGTGTTGGGGACACCTGTTTGCTTCAGAAGATGGAAGTAGTAACCAGGGAGACAGGCATTTAAGGGTTGATGCTGACTAACTGGCGGGAGTTAGTTAGGAAATGGAAGGTGGAAAGCAATATGGGCGAAAGTGTTCATGAAATGATGATTTCGTGATTCTAAGAGAAGGAAGGCGTTAGAGCAGGAAAATAAGGACAATGGACTTCAAAAAGGCAGACTTCAACAAACTCTGAAAACTGGTATGTGAGTGTGACATTTCACTCCATATTCTTTATGAAAATCTGCTTATGACATGAATATGAGATAACTGAGAAGTACTTTGTGCAAGATGGGTCTTGTAAGATGTCACTGGAAAAAGGTTATAGATTCATAGATTCTAGGACTGGAAGGGAACTAGAGAGGTCATCAAGTCCAGTCCCCTGCCCTCATGGCAGGACCAAATACTGTCTAGACCATTGGGCCCCAACCTTTTTTGTCTGGCGGGCACCAAAAAAAAAAAAAAAAAAAAGCCGAGTGCTGCCCGGCAGAGCAAAAAAAACAGGCACCATGTTGGGGACCCCTGGTCTAGACCCTCCCAGATAGACATTTATCTAACCTACTCTTAAATATCTCCAGAGATGGAGATTCCACAACCTCCCTAGGCAATTTATTCCAGTGTTTAACCACCCTGACAGTTAGGAACTTTTTCCTAATGTCCAACCTAAACCTCCCTTGCTGCAGTTTAAGCCCATTGCTTCTTGTTTTATCCTTAGAGGCTAAGATAAACAAGTTTTCTCCCTCCTCCTTATGACACCCTTTTAGATACTTGAAAACTGCTATCATGTCCCCTCTCAGTCTTCTCTTTTCCAAACTAAACAAACCCAATTCTTTCAGCCTTCCTTCACAGGTCATGTTCTCTAGACCTTTAATCATTCTTGTTGCTCTTCTCTGGACCCTCTCCAATTTCTCCACATCTTTCTTGAAATGCGGTGCCCAGAACTGGACACAATACTCCAGCTGAGGCCTAATCAGCAGAGTAGAGCGGAATAATTACTTCTCATGTCTTGTTTACAACACTCATGCTAATACATCCCAGAATCATGTTTGCTTTTTTTTCAACAGCATCACACTGCTGACTCTCATTTAGCTTGTGATCCACTATGACCCCCAAATCCCTTTCCACAGTACTCCTCCCTAGACAGTCATTTCCCATTTTGTATGTGTGCAACTGAATGTTCCTTCCTAAGTGGAGTACTTTACATTTGTCTTTAATAAATTTCATCCGATTTACTTCAGACCATTTTGTCCAGATCATTTTGAATTTTAATCCTATCTTCCAAAGCATTTGCAACCCCTCCCTGCTTGGTATCATCCACAAACTTTATAAGTGTACTCTCTATGCCATTATCTAAATCATTGATGAAGATATTGAACAGAACCGGACCCAGAACTGATCCCGGTGGGACCTCACTCGATATGCCCTTCCAGCTTGACTGTGAACCTCAGAACTACTCTCTGGGGACAGTTTTCCAACCAGCTATGCACCCACTTAATGGTAGTTCCATCTTGGTTGTCTTTCTTTAGTTTGTTTATGAGAAGGTCATGCAAGACAGTATCAAAAGCCTTACTAAAGTCAAGATCTACCACGTCTACCGCTTCCCCTCTATCCACAAGCTTGTTACCCTGTCCAAAAAAAAAAAAAAAAAGCTATTAGGGTGGTTTGACACAATTTGTTCCTGAGAAATCCATGCTGACTGTTACTTATCACCTTATTATCTTCTAGGAGTTTGCTAACTGATTGCTTAATTATTTGTTCCATTATCTTTCTGGGCAATTAAAATAAGCTGATTGGTCTGTAATTCCCCGGATTGTCCTTACTCCCCTTTTTATGGAAGGGCACTATATTTGCCCTTTTCCAGTCCTCTGGAATCTTTCCCATCTTCCATGACTTTTTGAAGATAATCGCTAATAGCTCAGATATCTAGGGTGCATTTCATCAGGCCCTGGAGACTTGAAGACATCTAACCTAAGTAATTTTTAACTTGTTCTTTCCTTATTTTAGCCTCTGACCCTACCTCATTTTCATTGGCATTCATTAAGTTAGATATCCAATTGCTACTAAACTTTTTGGTGAAAACTGAAACAAAAGACATTTAGCATCTGCCATTTCCACATTATCTGTTATTGTTCCCCCCCTCCGCCGCCATTGAGTACCATGAGCAGGTGGGGACAAAATCAGAAAGATTAACTCACAAAATAAGTTACACCTAGCAAGGGACATAGGAGGCAATAAGTAGGGTACTACTTAAATCACGGGGGGGAAGGGAATCATACGATTTTCAAGGGTTGGTCATGGCATAAATAGTGAACTTTGCAGATGTGTTATACACCTGTAAAATTTGCTATTTATGTGGTGAGTATCCCACAAAAAAGTGTGATTTCTCCACAGAGTTTCTCACATCAGCGGCCCAGACCCAAAAGGTGGTTGCAAGCCCACTAGTGGGTCGCAGTATTGCCACCCTTACTCCTGAGTTGATGCTGGCAGCGGCACTGCCTAGAGCTGGGTGGCGAGAGAGTGGTGGATGCTGGCCAGTGCCCGGCTCTGAAGGCAGAGAAGTAGGGGTGACTTAGAATTGCCACCCTTATTTCTATTCTGTGGCGGCGCTGCCTTTAGAGCGAGGCACCCAGCCGACAGCTGCCACTCTCCACTCTGCCTTCAGAGCCGGGCAGCCGGAGACCAGATTTCATGGTCTGTGACGCAAATTTCCGCCCTAATTTTTCTGCCCCAATTTTCTACTCCTCAGCCCCGCTTTGTGCCCTTGGTGGCTGCCCTACTCACCCCACCCGTGTTATGGCCCTGTAGCTGCACCAAATTGTCTGGTTACCAACAAAATTCACAGGCGTAATGTAATAGTTGAGTGTTTATATTATGCCAGCAGATTTTTCTTAAACAAATAGGTCTGCTGTGGCTTTTCCAAATTACGGCAATTAATAAAGGTCCATTATTATTTTTCTGCAATTTTCCAAGTCTTCTTTGCATCTCAGCTGCAATTATTTGAAGATCATCCCGCGGTTCAGGTAGGGTCTTAATTATTATTATTAACCAAGAGGAGGAAGAAACAGAAACCACAATAGGGAAAGAACAGGTTAAACATATGTAGATACATTATATATATTAATGTCAGCCACGAAATTAATTTTAGGGTGCTCAAGGAATTAGCTGAGGCAATCTTGGAACCATTAGCAATTATCTTTGAGAACGCCTGGAGAACAGTGAAGACTGGAGAAGAGCAAACATAGTACCCATCTTTTAAAAGGGGAACAAAGAGGACTGGGAAATAAAATCAAGCCTACCTTAGATACCTGGAATGAACAAATTATTATACAATCAATTTGTAAGCACCTAGAGGATAGTAAGGTGATAAGTTATAGCCAGCATGGATTTGCAAAAACAAATAATGCCAAGTCATAGTGAACTAGGGAAATGTGGTGTACATGAAAGTGGTATAAAATGGGTGAAAATGTTGTTGGAAGGCGGTACTCAGACAGTAATCATTAGTGGTTCACTGTCCAACTGGGAGGATGTATACAATGGGGTGGCCAGGGGCCAGTCCTGGATCTGATATAGTCAATATTTTCACTAATTACTTGGATAATGGACTGGAGAGCATGCTGTCTAAATATGCAGATAACAGCAGCTGTGAGGGGCTGCAAGCACGTTGGAGGACAGGATTAGCATTCAAGGTAACATTTACAAATTGGAGAAGTGGGCTGAATGAACATGATGAAATTCAATAAAGAGAAGTGCACACTACTAGGTTTAGGGAAGGAAAACCAAATGCACAACTACGAAGTGGGGAATAGCTGGTTAGGGGTAATACTACTGAAAATGATCGGGGGCTATAGTGGATCACAAATTGAATCTGAGTCAATTGTGAAAAAACCTAATTAAGCACTGGAATAGATTAGCAAGAGAGGTGGTGGAATCCACATCATTGGAGGTTTTTAAGAACAGGTTGGACAAACATTTCAGTGCTGGGGGCTGGACTAGATGTCCTCTCAGAGTTCATTCCAGCCCTACAGTTCTATGATTCTATGCTGGGGAAATGTTTGGCCACTTTATTACAGCACTGACCGGCCCCTCCCACTAGCACTAAACCACCAAGACATTTTGAAACCCTCCCAATAACTAAGTCTGGGAACCGAATGGGAGAGAAGCGCAGAACAAAAGGAGTGACCCTGCGGGATTCCCCCTGACACTGTCCCCAGGGCAGCACACTCCTACAGCAGAGGGGACAGGGAGAGTCAGGAACTGGCTTTTCCTCTTCCTGCACCTCACCTTGCTCACAGGAAAGTGAATCTGCCCAGGGATGCTGCAATAAGTGTGTGGGGGCCGGTCAGAGATCTGGGAATCTCTCTCCCCAGTTATTTCTCCCACTGCTCTTTTCAGTCTCTCTCTCTCTCTCATTTTTCTCCTTGTGTCTCCCTTCCCCCGTCTCTCCCACTCTGGCTGACAGACAATCCTGGGGGTTCGCTCTCCTATAGCTGGATCGGCTCCTGCAATTGCTAAGGGGAGGAGAGACTTGGGGTGAGGAGGGGCTGTTTGTGCAGAGTCACTTTCATGCCCATCCCCAGTTCCCTGAGGTCTCTATCAACCACCTGGAGTCTCTGGCTCAGATGTTGGGGTGGGCAGAGCATTGGGTTGACCTATGGGGCTAATTACAGCTGGAGAAAATCCTCACCTTGGCTGAACGCAGAGGAAGCTTTACTCATGGTCACTCCCCAGCCCCGATCCCGCTGGGGGAGCAGCAGCTACTCAGCCTGGGCTCTCAGATCACAATGGGGGCAGCAGCGTCTGAACCAGGAAGCTCCACCTCAATATCCTGAGGCAGAGAAAGCGAGAAACTGAGTCACTTTCCCCCCTTTAGCAACAACTGAAACCCCCTCCCAACAGGGACACACCCTGATCTTAACTGCCCCCCATGTTAATTTTGGAGTCACTCCCTGTTCTGCCTTGCAGTGACTCTGGATTAACATGCGTCTCAGCATGTAGCCCTAAGGATTAATCTGCTTGCTTGCATAGATATATCTTTTCTTATAAGTTTAAGTATTTGATGTATTGTAATAGGTTTATAGATTTATATTAAAAATAAGTTTGGCTGTAATGCAAGAGACCTACAGGCCAAACAAAAACCTGTATGTTAAAGCTAAGGCAAAGTTAGCATATCTATATTGGGACCTTATACCCAGAAAAGTAAGGTTGACCTTCATCTTGTTACCCAAATAGATAAAGCACCCCGGCCTATGTCTAAGACCTTTACCTAGACCAATAGACAACGAAGAATGGCATGGGGGGGGGTTTTCAAAGTTGTACCCACAGACTTAATAAGTACACCACAAGTGCACACATACCTGTCATCGATACGCACGTACATATTAGCCTATGCGGTAAGTGTAGCCTAACGTTTCTGTGGGGGAGGAATGAAATTTGGGCTAAAGAGGAAGGATTTCCGGCACTTAGGTCATATAAAAGAGCTTCAATCATCATCTATTCTAGATCTCTTCATCTTCAACTAGCCAGGAGACTCGAGGAGTGTGTGACAGGAATTTTCAGGAATTCCAGGCATCCTTAGACCCCTAGAAATCTCACCCGAGGCATAAGTAAATGGTTAAAATTACAGAGACTTACAAATAGTGTGTCTCACCCACTCTTTCTTAAGAAAACAGAAACCTAATTTCCTGTGACTGCAGCTTGGCAGCAGTCCCAGTATTTCCGGTTTTGTATTGTGGTTTTGACTTAGAAGTTTAATTTTAAGGTTTTTGAATATAATACTGCAAGATTAAATAATATTACTTTATAATATTACTTTTTAAGTAATAGTGTTATTGTTAAAGTGATATGCGCATCTAAGGGGTTTTGTAAAGGTTGAAGTTATAACGAATGGTACCGATAAGATATTAGCAGTAGCACTGGATCTGATGACCCACACTAGTGGTGGCGGGGGAGTTGACAAATCTAGGTATTAATTACTGCCAAAAGGCCGCAATAGTTCAGAACTTGAACAGTTCAAGATACCTTATCTCAATCCCCTTAACTCTCCCAGGCTGCACCTCTGATCCGTCTGCCTCAGTATTTCCCAGTATTTGGCAGGTCCCGACAGAGGGAAAAGACCTCTCGAGTAGCTACGAGCCATCGAGGGAAGAGAGGGAACATACCCCCATCCCTCTATTATTTACTTGGGACTTATTGAACGAAGTGTAGAAACCGGTTAGGGGTGTATTTCCTGTTGTTTCTGTGAAGGGGCGCCTTCAGTTTCAGAGTAAAACAACAGAGTATTCATTCTAGTTGATTGAAGAAGCTAGTGAAGTTGTAGAATTGAAATGAGTTCTATATTTCATGTTAGGAGTGGAGTAAAGGCAAGAATAGAGTCTGTTGGAGTTGCCCGCAGTCTGGCTTTAGAAAACTTTGCCAGAAAATATATTCAGGAACATAGAGGAGGTTTAGAACAGCTGAGAAATAGTGAGATGATTTCTGAGCATGGTAACCCACGGGGTTTTGTAAGTGAGGTATTTGATGTAGAAACAGAGCCGAAAAAGAATAAAAAAGTAGGGTTAGTCAGGGAAGCCCCGCAAACTTTGGATGCCAGCTTAAAACCGCTGGAGGGCTATAGATCAGATCGTGGTCAGCTGTTGGACAGAATTAGAGAAATAGAAAAGAGAGAAGATGTGTCAGAGGAGGATAAAGAATTGATTCCCATCCCTATTGGCACGGTGGAACCGACGGAGGTAGAAAACCCTGCAGGACCAACTACTAGAAGTAGGGCAAGAGAATTAGCTCAGGCTGATACAGTACCTTTAGGAGCGGAGTTGGAGATTGAGTCTGAAGAGCCACGGGGAGAGTCAGAAGAGGAAGTTAGCAGTGCAGGAGATACCGGCAGTTTGCAGATAGGAAAAGGAAGTCCCAGGGTGGCACCACAGGAGGTGGAGCTGAGTGCCCTAGAAAAGGCAGCTAGTGATGTAAAGGAGGAGCTGAGCAAAGCAAAATGGGAGGAAATATCTTCTCCTCTGTTAGTGTCCGCCCCTGATAGTCAAGAGGCAGTGGCTTTAGAGACTGTCATTGTTCAGGGACTAGAAGATGCAGTGTCACAAGTGACACGAGTAGCTAGTGCATGTGATGTAGTAATCTGTAAGGGTATGTCTACACTACAGGATTAATCCGAATTTAGATAATTCGAATTTGGGAAACAGGTTGTATAAATTCGATTGTGCGCGGCCACACTAAGCACCTTAATTCGGTTTTAAACCACATTAATTCGGTGGTGTGCGGCCACACTACCCCATTAACTTAAACACAGTAATTCGGTGGTGTGCGTCCACACTAACCCTAATTCGAATTAACAAAATCGATTTAGGCTCTACTCCGTTCGTCGAGGTGGAGTACAGAAATCGATTTAAAGGGCCCTTTAATTCGAATTAACTGGCTCTGTAGTGTGGACGGGTGAAGGGTTAATTCGGATTAAGGCAGCTAAATCCGAATTAAAGTCCTAGTGTAGACCAGGCCTTAGTTACAACAACCAAGGAATAGAATTCCTGCTCCTCCACCCAATATTACATTAGCACCATATAGAGTACAAGATCCAGCCCCTTTGGGTGGATATTTATTGGCATTTGGGCAATCAACATTGCCTAGAGCCCGTGGATTCTCTACACCTTGGTATATGCTGGTATCACCTA